CCAAATATGGATCCATCTGACAGTGTTCCCATCTATTCCACATTTACTCAGTTTGCTAATCAAAATATTATGGGGATAATATTATAAGGCTATAATATTACAGTCGCCCCTTCATTTTCATGAGGGATCTGTTCCAGACCCCCCCCCCCATAAAAATGGAAAATCACCAATACTCAAGCCCCATTGGCTTGAATGGCAGTGCATGCCCACAGGAGCCCATGGGCATGCAGCACAGGCATGCACTCCATTTTGTCCCTCTCCATTTGCTGCCTGTGAACAGGTAAGGGATGTGGACTCCAAGTTCGCAAAAATATATCTTGAGTGCCAGCATGGTGTAGTGGTTTGAGCATTGGACTATGCCTCTAGAGAATCCCATTCAGGGTTTGAATCCCCACTCAGTCATGAAAACTTACTGGGTCACCATGAGCAATTCACAGTCTCTCGGCCTAGAGGATGCCAATTGCAAACACCCTCTGAAGAAACCTGCCAAGAAAACCTGTGGTAAGTTCACCTTAGGATTGCCATAAATCAGAAATGACTTAAAGACTCTCTCACACACAGTATACCTTAACAAATGCTTTGCTGAAATCCAGATAAATGATATTCACAGCATTCCCATCATTTACTAAACAAATTGAAAAAAAACCATATGATTAGTCTGACAGATCTTTGTCTTGACAAGTCCATGCTTGCTTTTATTGAACCTGCATTATCATCAAGATACTTGCAGACAGACACTTATATAATGTTTTCAAATATTTTGACTGATTTGTAGTTTCCAGGATCTTTTTTGCCTTTTTTGGAGAGATGGACAATGTTTGCTGTTCTCCAGTCCTCATCTGTACTCCAAGATTTCTCAAAAATGATGGCAAGAGGTTCAGAGATCACATCAGCAAGTTTCTTCAATACTTTGGGATGCAGTTTGTCTGGAGCTACAGATTTAAGCTTGTGTAGATGAGCTAAGTGATTCCTGACTATCTCCCTATCAATCCTGATTTGCAATCCGTATCCTTTGCCATGATCTCTGTGTGATCCTCTGTGAACTTCTGAAGAGAAGGGGAGCTGCTGCTCAATAAAAATGGTAAAATACTAGCAGATCACAATGAAAATGTGGAACTATTTAATACCTGTTTTGCTTCAGTTTTCTCCCAAAAAGAGCACAATGTGCTTTCATGTAATGCATGTTACATGTTATATAGTATACAGCATTTGAATTGTAAACTTGTATTCCTGTCAAATTGAGCCATTATTCACCATTCTTGTTTACCTCTTCTAACAACAGGAGACACAATTTCTTTTATGCATATAATTTTAAACTTATAGTAGTAGTTTTTGATAAGGGTAACATGGTGCATAAATAGTTCTTGGCAGCTCAACTCTTTTCCCATCTAGCAGGTCACAGCCTGTTCTTTCAGTTTCAAGCACCATATTTCATGATTCACTAAATTCCACAAAAAAAGATGTTTGCTGAAGCATCGACCTTGCAATCTGAGGCCATGGCATCAGTACTGCAGTTAGGCATTCTCATATCTCTCAGATTCCGTGGACATCTACTTTGAAGAAAAGCTTACAAAGATTGATTAAACATACAGACAAGAAAGGTCACAGTCCTGTGTATACCTAGGAATAACTCCCAGTGAACACCTTATGACACCCCCCCCCCAAAAAAAAGCATAAGAATGAGCTATTGAAGCATGTTTTTCTTTTTTCCTTTTTTGCAAAGTTAGCATGTGCCTTTGTATTACGATTTATCTAAGTCTGCATAAGTTGGTTCTTTCTGCTAAATATTTTACTCACGTACTTAGTAGGTATGTTTAAATATATCAGTTTCATTATCCAACATGATATATGCCATTATCTGTCAACAAGACCAAGGAGATCCAAAAGCCATGCCATTGCTTTTGATCATTTTGTGTTGTTTAAAAAGAGGCATTTGTGTTTAATATGACAGACATATATGTTGATAGAATATATAAATATAATTGTAAGTTTATTTTTTCTCAGCTTGTTTAACTTACTGCATCTGTTGTGTTAGAAAAAACGGAGATTGTCACAGCTAGTGCTGAGTCCCTTTTTGAGAAATGATAATCTATATGTGAAGGCAATGCAGAAGGCAGTAACAGTTTGTCGAAGAAAATAGGTATGCAATTCAAAAATAGAGGGGGGAAGTGATTTGGTTTATTTATTTATTTATTTATTTATTTATTTATTACACTTTTACACTGTCCAATAACCACAATAGAGCATATAAAAATATAAATAGAAGGCGAAGAGTGGGCCATAAATAAACAGCACACAATAAAAGCATGATAAAACCAGCACAAAAGTACTGCAGGACATAAAATTAAAGAAAAATCAGTAACAAAATAGTGGAGGGCTAAGATCTAAAACCACTGAACAGGCCACAACTTAGGTGCTTAATGAGCTGCCCCAAAGGGAACAGTTCTCATGCCTCCTCATAAGGAGTTGTATGCCTACATATCTGCAATTGAGAACATTGTCCTGGACTTGGAAAGCTGTTAAAAACAAAGCCATGAATATAACTCTTTCCTTTTTTCACCTACTGCATTGGACCCCTGTTATATGAAATCCTGGACTACCCTTTCCCAAGCTAGTGAATCACCCTTATCTGAAATATATGGTCTTTGCTTGGGAGGGGGTGAAAATATGTTGGGGAAAAATGATAAAAAAAAACCCCTGTTTTTCAAATGTTGAGAATTCTTGACCAGGAGATTCTTCACAGTTTGGAATTTATTCTAAGTAAATTTATTTTATTTTTGCATAGAAAACAGCATTTTATGTGCAGAAAATATTATTTTATGTGTTGAAAATGCTATTTTCTGAAAGAAAAAACTGCTGTAGTTGGTTACTTATGGGCTAATCCCAGTTATCAGTGTAGTCAACTTGTTATAGACTGAGTACCATCCTCATATTGGTGACATCTTAGCCATGTCTCTGCACAATCTCTCCCATATCTTTCATCTAGATGTTGAAAACTGCATGTGATAAAGGAAAGTGTGTAGGGGTGCCACGGCTCAATTATTGTGG